CCTGACACAGGAAGCAGCCTGGGGGTGGCCTGGAATGCTCAGCACCCTGAATCCTGGTTTTGCCACCTCTGGAATGCTTTGCTGGGTGGCCTCATGCTTCAAGTGTAAAGCTAAAATTCCTCCAGGGGTTTTGTGTCAGCAAGGACTGGCTGGGGGGGAAAAGGGGGATACAGGGGGTCAGGGAATGGGATGGGGGAGCAGTGGCCAGGGATGTCCAACCCCAGACTTACCCCTGCACTTGCACCCCAAAGCCAGCTCCATGTACGGGGTGGGGGGTGAAGGGAATAACTGGAGACACCTTGTTTTGCCTGGAAAGATGACATTTTGACACCAGTAGCAGGCAGAGATCAGCCAGAGCCTCAGGCTCCTTCCCCCGCTGTGCTGAATGCAGAATGAGCCCAGCATGGGGGGGCAGCTCGTTTGCATCCCCAGCTTACCCTGGGGCACCCCCATATCTTTGGGGTGGCAATCCCACAGAGACTGACTGTAGACACACTAAAAAGAAAGGTAGTCAGGAGCCAGCAGCTTCCTGAGGGGAGAGTCATAGCGAAGAGAAGTCCAAACAGTGCACATTTCAAGGTGAGTTGTTCCAAAAATCTCTATACAGGCATCAAAATATAAAATAAACCCACATGAAATATAAATATGTAGAGTAGTAATGTAAATTTTTTAATATCTACTACATACAAACAATAAAATATTAATGCACTGTGATATTAATATAGTAAAATGTTAGAGTATTAAAATGCTTGAAATATTGAGATGCTGCATGTCATAGCAGTTATGTTAAGTGCCAGCATACAAGTAAAGGCCAAAATTGCCATCTCCCAGCCAAGATTCAGGTTGTGAAGCAGATGGAGCAGTTGGGAAGGGGGCATCCCCATCCCTGCCACAGCCCTGAACCAGGAGCCACATGTTGCACAAGCCTGGGATCTCCCCTCCAAGGGCTCAGCATCCCAGGGCTTTGTCCCCGGGGATGAGGAAGGAGATGGGAAGGGGAAGTGCTGGCGAGGAGCCCTCACAGGTCTCCTGCTCCTGGCACTGAGCAACACTGAGATCCAGAGGCAGGATGCTGTCCCATCTTTCCCAGGGCTCCTCCAAGCTGCATCTTCCATTTTCAGCCATACAAATGAATATAGACAATATTAGTTTGTTTTATCTGTTTTCAGTGCACATATGCCTAGAATCTATTGAGTATACTTCTCTGGTTTTTTTTTTAATTCACCATGATGGTAAATGAGCATTTCACCCCTCTCTCTCTCTCTCTCTTCTCTCTCTCTGATATTTAAATTTTACATTACTGGTTTGCAGATGCTGTATTATACTGGAGGAGCTTGAAAGTAAAAAGATTTTAAAAAGTTGAAGGGGTTTTTGAGCAGGGGAGTGCCTGGACGAGCTTTGGGTCACCCAGGGAGCACACATTGCAGGTGGTTTACAATATTGCTGTGATCCCTAGCTTGTACTTGGTGGTTTTTTTCATCCAAAAAGGGGCCGAAGCTTATCTCCCCCTGCCCCCTTTTTTTTCCTGTTGCACATTCAAGGGACTAGATCTGTTGTCAGAATGTGGGGAGAAGCAGTCTGACACCCAAATAGCATCTCCCAGCATAATTTTTTTTTTTTTAAAGAAATCGTGCTTTTCCTGGCAAGAAAGTAATGAACGAGTTTTAAGCAAGTCCATAAATGCGATGTTTCGAGACGTCATTTGCAGAATACATTTATTTTAGGTGCCCTCCACCCTTTCCACCATCTCCCTCCAGTTTATTTTAACAATGCTGTAATTTTCTGTTGTAAAATGGGATTTTTCTCTTTAACTCCATGTCGCCTGCTCGGCTTTTGCATATGTGTGTGTGTGCGCTGGTGACATTTGTCACCATCAGATGCTATTTTTATGCCTGTTATTATTGAGGACCCCACCCTTGGCTTGGAGAGGGGAAGGGGGGAGTGCAGGAGGAGGGAGAGGAGGGAGGGGGAGGAAGGAAAACGTCAGCCTCAGCACACTTCCAGCCTCTGGCCATCAACCTCCCCGGGGGCATGGGAACCATAAGGTCATTTCTCAAGCTCACTGAGCTCCAGAGCTGTCAAACCACCCTGAGAGTTTAAAAAATGCAAATCTATGCAAATGAGCGGGCTGCTTCTCTCCCTCTACCCCCCTCACCCCCCCATTTAAATGACATGAATCACCTTCAATTTTGCCAGCATCCTGTAAAGTTATCGGCTTGTCTAAGCACTGTGGTTAACAGAACCACTTCTCAAGACGGCCAGGAAGGGAAAAGAAAGTACAAACAGTCAATTTCCATCAAAAGCAACATCACTTTTTATATATTTTGTATATATAAAATGTATATAAATATATATATAAAATCACATACCCCCCCCCCAATCTCCCAATTCAATTTTTTTTTTTTTTTACTGCGTACTGAATAATTCACTAATTAGGGATAATGAAGTTTAGTGGCCAGAAAAAAAAAACCCTCTAGAAAAACATTTCTCAAGGTAGTCTAATATTTTGATTTTCTGATCTTTGGCACTTGGGGTGAACTGGCAGTAAAAGATCAAGATGTGCTTGTGGGAAGACACGTTCCTTCATGCAAGGAGCTCCTTTAACACTCATGCTCCTTCCAAACAAAAATAAATGAGCAGAAGATGAAAACAGCAATAGGAATTTAATTGCTCATGCTTATTATTCGGGATACAAAGCCCTGAAAAAGGAAGTTGTCTTTTCCTCCCTTGCTCAGGGGTTATTTATTATCTCACACTCCGCTCGGAGAGCACATTTGATTTGCTGTCGTTTATCGTCGATTTTCAAGGGGGATTTGATACGGGGCTGGTGGGGCTCATAAGAGGAGTGTAGCTGGTTAACGTGGTTAAGCACAGCACACTGTAATGAATCAATTTGTTTCAGACAACAGGCATAATTAGCGTGGAGGTAACGGGCACACCGCGGGACGTGGGGCTGGAGCATCCTCCTTCCGCCAAAAGCGCCGGTGGCTGGGGCTGAGGGGGCTCTCAGGGCTGTGATTCCCGGCTCCTCTGGGCATGGGCAGGTGGCTGCAGAGGGCTTCCCATGGTGCCAGCCCCCTGGGAGGCTTCACTGGCCAGGGACAGCTGTGCCCGGTCCCGGTGTGGCTCCCACCGGGCCTGTGCTCCATCACCTGTCCCCAGGTGTGCTCCGTCGGGGTTTGCACCGCCCTTCCTTTGCTCACCAGCTCCCACATGCGAGCTTCTGGCGGTGCTGGTTAGGTATGGGGGGGATATCTGTGAGTTCTCAGCTGGAGAATGGCCCTGCAGAGGGAGGAGAAAGCATTCCTTTTCCCACGGGAATGTTTGCTGACGAGTCGGATCCCCTCTAGGGGCCCCCCAGGCTTCGCCAAGGGTCGCTGGCTTCCTGGACAAGGTGAAGCCTGGATTTTTGTGGGCAACCTCCATCAGGCCAGGCTCTTTCCACCCCCGAGGGCCTAAGGCAGGTGGGAGGGTGGGAGCCAACCCCTCACCATGAGGCAAACCAGGTCCCCACAGCTGGTGGGAAGTGGGTTTGGAGTGAGTGCAGCCAGACCCTGGGCAGGGAGGGACACCCAGGACATGGCAATGGGTCCTGGGAGAGATGTGGAGGTGGTGTGGGGTGGAATTGGGAACCTGACAGAGGTGTGGAGGGTGGGATTGGGAACCTGGTGGTCTCAGATTTGTGGAAGGGTGAGGAGGGGGGGGCTGCAGTTTCACTTCCAGGTACCCTGAGTTCTCTCAGGGATGAACTGCTTGGCTCTGAACCAGATGTGTACCTGCAGCAGGGCCACGAGCTGGGGCTGGTAGAGGTGACACTGCATGAACACATGCTCTGTGTCCTGGGGGTTTCCAAAGGGTTAGTGTATTCAAAGTTATTCTGTCTGTTTGATGTATTCTGTGTGTGAGGGGATTAATGTATTCGTCGCCTGCTGGAGGAAATCACTCTCCTTTCCTGGGATTTCTCATGTGCAAGGGCTGCTGGAGCCATGTGAAAGAGGAAACATCTTACAGATTAAAAAATGGCAAAAAGAAATCAGGTTTTCCTCTTGGGTGTGGGCTTTTTGCTTCCGAGTTTTCCTTTGAAGCTAAAGCTGCTCTGGCAGGGGAAGATGTCTGCCAGATGCACAGGGCATTTGATACCATGCTGACAAGTCCAAGCAGGACTGGGAATGAAGCAAGCTCAGCTCATGGGAGAAGATGGCAGACAGCTATCTGTGTCTGGCCTGGTCCTTGCCCCCTCTTTTTCTTCCTCTGAGCGTTTAGGTACACCGTGACACAAATCCTTTCTTGCCTCCCCATTCCCAGGTCCCTCAGCTAGACACCCCTTTGATGGTTGTCCACATGCTGAGGTGACATGGGATAAATTCCAGGCATGGACTAGCAGGAGTGGATTCCTACTGGTCCATAAGGACCACTCTCCTACTGCAGCAAGCAGCCAAGGCCCCCCTGTTTGGGACATCCAGTTGTACCAGTCCCAAGAACAGTGGTGTGGATGGGATGGGCACTCCCTGGCTCACCTTGTTTAAGCTGTGTAGGTGCTGGGACTTGGCAGTGTGAAGCAATGCAACATCACACTTTCCCCACGTAGCTCCTGGCAGGGCAAATCCAGCATGTGCCCGGAACAGCGCTGTCTCTGGGAGGACGTAGAAGAAACCTGGTGGGAGGGAGTCGTTGCACAAGGTTGGTGGGGGAGGGATGTGAGGGAGAAGAGGGAGCTTGTGGTGGTTGTGAAAAGGTGAATAGGGTGGGAATCGAGTAGAGGAGGATGGAGACAAAGAAGGAGCTGAAAAAAATGTGGAGGGAAGCAGAGGTTAGATCACAGAGGACCTGGAAGGAGTTGAAGGTGGCATGGAGATGCAGTGGGGCAGTGAAAGTGGGAGGTGATCACAGGGTTCAAAGTGAGGTGGGGGAGAGAAGGACACCGAGAGAAGGCAGCATCATTTTGGCATCACCGATTGGGAATCCCCTGCTAACACTCCTCTGCCTGTGCTTTGTCCTAGGGCACTAAATGAGAATATGGCCAATGGCATTGAAGATCTTATCGGGATCCCATTCCCGAACCACAGCAGTGAGGTGTTGTGTGGCCTGAACGAGCAGCGGCATGATGGGCTCCTCTGCGATGTCATCCTCATCGTGCAGGACCAGGAGTACCGCACCCACCGCTCCGTCCTGGCTGCCTGCAGCAAGTACTTCAAAAAACTCTTCACTACCGGCACTTTAACGGACCAGCCCTATGTTTACGAGATTGACTTTGTCAAGCCCGAAGCACTTTCTGCCATCCTCGAGTTCGCCTACACCTCAACCCTCACCATCACCACCTCGAACGTCAAGCACATCCTCAGCGCTGCCAAGATGCTGGAGATCCAGAGCATTATCAACGTATGCCTTGAAATCATGGAGCCCGACAGGGAGGCTGAAGAGGAAGACGACAAAGAGGACGACGACGATGACGAAGATGAAGACGAAGATGAGGAGGAAGAGGAGGAGGAGGAGGAAGTGGAAGATTTCGTCAATCAGGAGAACCTAACCGATGTACAAGAAGTAAGCTGCCACCAAAGCCCTTCTGAGTCTGACCTTACCGAAGAGGCATATCCAGAAGCACCTAAAGATTTTCCAAATCACTTCCCAGCCAGTAACTCCTCTGGACACCTGGGCATGATACGAGACTTCTCCATCGAGTCCCTGTTAAGTGAAAACTTGTACCCTAAGGCAAACATCCCGGAAAGAAGGCCGGCTCTCTCCCCCTTCGCCCCCACCTTCTTCCCCCATCTGTGGAACGGAGACTTTAGCTCCTTCTCCCAGCTCGAGGAACCACAGGTAGACAACGGCCCCTTGGATCTGGTGATCAAAAAGAGGAAGATCAAGGAAGAGGAGGAGAAGGAAGACCTGCCCCCGCCTCCTTTCCCTAATGACTTCTTCAAGGACATGTTTGCCAACACCCCAGCAGCTCCCCTAGGGCATATTAAGGCAGAGGCTGACTATGGAGCTTATCTGAATTTCTTAAGCGCTACCCAGTTCGGAGGAGTTTTTCCTCCATGGCCCCTGGAGGAAGAGAGGAAAATAAAGCCCAAGGCGTCCCAGCAATGCCCCATCTGCAACAAAGTCATCATGGGAGCCGGCAAGCTGCCCAGACACATGAGGACCCACACTGGGGAGAAACCCTATATGTGCAATATCTGTGAAGTTCGCTTTACCAGGTGTGCATTGGGTACCTCTGCCACGTGTGGGGAGCGGGGTGGTGGTGGTTGGAGGGGACATGTCATGACCCATGGGCTGGTTTCCTGAGCTGCACTTTCCCCCCCTCTCCCCCTCCCTCCCATAAAAAAGTAGGAAAGAAAGCAGGGCATGATCTCTATCCCTTCAGGGAAAAAAAAATGAAAAAAAAAAAAAAAGGGAGTAAGGGAGGAGGGTGGAGGGAGAAAATGAACCTACTGATTTTTGTGGGTTGTGGATGACATCCACAACTCACTGGATCCATCCCCTCACTGGACAAAAGCTTAAATAAGTAACAGGATATTTTCAACCCGGCAATAGTTCACCACAGTGGGACCAGAGTGAGCTGGAAAACAGATGGTCAAACAGCCAAGGAGGCTTCATCTCGAGTGTGCTGGGAGATGCATTGAGTTGGGAGGGCCATTTAGCCACAGGATGTAATTAGTTTGGGTTTTCACATTTTGGCACCAGTGTAGACCACAACCAAGTTGCACATGTTTGGACATGACAGTATCTGGGTTTTCTGAGGCTGGAGCAGTCCTAATTCTTATATGTTATAGTGCAGTGGGGGTAAGTCTCTTCTCCAGAATAACAGGCAACAGGACAAGGGGAAATGGCCTCAGTTGCACCAAGGGAGGTTTAGATTGGTTATTGGGAAAAATTTCATCACAGAAGGGGTTGTCCAGCCCTGGGACAGACTGCCCAGGGCAGTGGTGGAGTCTCCATCCCTGGGGGGATTCAAAAAATGTGTTGTTGTGGCACCTGGGGACATGGTTTGGTGGATTTGGTGGAACAGCTGGACTCATAGAATCCCAGAATGGTTTGGGTAGGAAGGCATCTTAAAGGCCATCTTGTTCCAACCCCCCTGCTATGGGAAGGGACACCTTCCACTAGACCAGGGTTCTCAGAGTCCCATCCAGCCTGGCTTTGGACACTTCCAGAGATGGGGCAGCCACAACTTCTCTGGGCAGCAACTGGAGCAGGCTATGCAAATCTAATGCTCCAGCTTGAAACCCTCCCCTGCAAAGCTGGGCAAATTTAATCGGCGAGCAGAGACAAATAGATTCCTGGACCTGCTCTTGCTGAGTATAATTAATATCTAATGAGGACAATCTTTACCATAATAATAAAGCTTTCTGACAAGAGCATGGTATTTCAGCTCCTGGCTGCGTGTGAGAGAGAGAGCCCTATTAAGCTGGGGCGGGAAAACCAGAGGAAAATAATCTGCACAGTAGGCAGAGGCGAGCTCCTGACAATGGCCAGACACCTGGGGTGCTCCTGCATTCAGCCTGCCTTTTCTTCTCCTGTCCTATGATAATATTCAAATGGAAGATATGCAGATGATGAGGATTTGACCTGAAAATAAATTTCCATGCTCCCCTCCATTAACGCAGCAGACGCCGCATTATAATGCGGGGAGCATCATGCCTCGGGCGGGCACATGCGACGTGAGCCTGCCTCACCCTGCTATTTGCAGGGGAAGGGCCACTGCACGGCGGTAATTCCTGCCTGCAGGAATTTGGATCTGCCTCCTGCTGGTGCTGCATCCCCAGGTTAGCACTGCGTTGTTGCTTCCAGGCGGGCGGTTCATGCCGGTGGTTGTGGTGGCATTCCCAGGCTGGGGGGACCACCTGGCCAGCCCCATGCTGTGGTCCCTGTTGCTCTCCTGCATGTGGTGCTGGTTACTGATGAGGGAATAGCTTGGCTTGACTCATCACTAGCAGCTTCCCCTGTAATGGGGCTAATAGGGCGGCATCGTTGGGCTTAGTTTTGGGGAAACCGAGGCACGGGGAAATGCTGGTACTGGCCCCCTTTGAAGGTTAGTAGGAGGGTTCAGGTGAGAATTCAGGTATCCTGACCCCTAATCCAGGCAGCTTAAATCAGCATCACGGAGGTTAAAAGCTCCATGCAGAGCTGGTCTAGCATGGCCCGTTGCTAACACAGGGTGAAACCCAACAGCTTTGACAACCCCCATATGCTCAACAGCTTCTAAATACAGAGCACAGGGGTAGTGAGACTTTAACCCAAGGAACAAGTGACAAAATTGGGACTGACCCAGTGGTGCAGTCTCCCCTCATCCCTGATGAAAATGAAGTTGTTCATGTGGGTCACCTGGCACTGAGCTGAGCGCAGGAGGGTTTTTTCCTTACTCTAACAGCCTGAGCAAAGTGGAAATCTCAAAACACTGGTTTGTTTTTAAATACATTTGGAAGGATTCTGAATAGCAAGCAGCTGTTTGGTTTTGTTTGAGGTGGGTTTTTTTAGCCATTTTCAGCATGGCTCTGATGTGAGAACTCTCCTTTAGGAAAAAGTATGTTTTTAAGCAAAGTGGAGTGATTGAGATGTAGGAAGAGATTTCTGTCGGGATTTCCTCAATGCTGCCACTTATATTAGTGTTTTGCTCTCAGGGGGGAATCTCGTCCTTCCTGAAAGCATCAGACTTCTGCCCCACAGTGCCTTCACTGGGGAGATGCAAGCCCAGATGGTCCCTTTTGGGGTCCCCTGGGAATGAGGTGCAGGGAAGCAGAGGTTCCCAAATGGGATTTCAGAATGAGTCGGTCTTTTGCATTATTTCTGCCTGTAAGGAATTGTGTAGGAGCAAATCTACCAGGGAAAAGAGGGAAAATATATTTTTTATGGGTGGGAAGTCCCCCAACCTCCCCATCAGATCACTTCCCCTTCACATCAGTAGCATGTGAGGACCCCCCATGCACCTGGATCTGCCACTCCCACTGCCCAGGGAGATCAGATCTCAGGAAGCAGGACTTAATTTAATAGCTCATTAATTTTTTCCCTTAAACAAAGGCTGCCCAGCCTCTAGTCTGCTGTTTCACCCTGCTAGAACGCTGGAGAAAAACTGCAAATATTTCAGCTTTTCCACCAAGACAGCCCCAGAGTGCTCAAGGAGAAACTGTTCCAGCCGGAAAGGTTAACATTATTTGTTCCTATTATTTGTGTTGTGACAGCTCGCAGAGCCCTAATCGCTCTCCTAATGCAATTGCATTAAGGTTATTCACACACGCGGAGTGTGGATCTCCGCCGGGGAGAGCCTGTGAGCCCAGCTCCCAGCTCACAAAGCCCGTGCCCCCCACGCCACATCCTTCCTCCCCGGGGGTGCTCCACCGCGGCCGGAGCATCCCACCCCGCCCCCCAGCCCCTGAGCTGCTCCAGGTAGAGCCATAAACCTTCTCTTCCATCCCCCTGGGGCGGGAGGTGCTGGGGGGGGATCGAGTTTCCCTCCCTGTCTGCCGCCGGAGATGGGTAACAGCCTGAAAAGAGCTTTGCCTGTGTTTACATTATGCAGTCCTGGCACGCGGCGTGTTTATTAGGAAAAGCGATCCCGCTAGGTTAAACATTACATATAGGGGTTTAAATTAAATTATAGGTGGGGCTGGTGGCTCTGCTTTTCATTAACGTTTCCCACCGCCTCGCAGTACGAGCCCCCTGCGTTCGTCCCTGTGTGTGTGTGATCTCGCCACGTTTTTATCCGCTCGGGGTGAGATTTTTCCGTGCTGCTTTGTCTTCTCCAGCTGAACACCCGTTTCAGCCCTTTCCAGGTGTGTGTGTGGGGAAAAATGCACCCTTGGGGAAAAAATCTTGGGGAAACAGGAGCTTTTAAAATGTCAGAGTGGGGAGTTGGGATCTGGCCCTGGGCTTGGCGCAGGGACCGGGAGATGCTGCTTGCTTTTTTTTTTTCTTTCTGTCTCCCTAAAAATCTGTAGGTGCAGGACACAGGCTGGGACCAGTTTCCCAAAGGCAGTAGAGCATCATCTGGTGAAGAAGTGACTCTCCTGCTAGGGATACTTCTCTGCATCCTTGCTCCTGAGGGATTTGGTGTACAGGGGTGCCAGGCCAGGGCTGCACCCCTGATGGGCTGGCTGACACCAGCGTCACCAAAAACTACTTCAGGGTGCACACAGGCAGGGTGGCAAAAATTAGTGCAAAGGTAGCACCTTGCAGGTTCTGAGGGCTTGACCTGCCAGATAATAAATAGATTTTTGGGGGGGGTGGGGGGCGGTTTTTACATTACATAAATCAAAATATCTCATAACATGTACTTATGTATTATCTAATTTATAATGCAGTTGTATTTTTAAACCATAATAAATAGTATTATATGCTGTCTAATATTCACCTAAAATATATAATACAGTTTTCCATAAGATATCTATAACGTGTAATAATGACATGACTCCATGCATTCTACATAAAATCCCAGTATTAGCACTTTGGAGGGTTCACACCAAAAAGCATTTTGGGAAAACAATATGAATTTTCACACTTTGCTCTTTACTTGAACTCCACTGGTGCAACCTAGCTGAGCAGTGCTCAGCTCAGTTCAGCTTTAGGCAACTTTATGTTTTACAATCATATGCTTTAGCTGTGATTTTTTTTTTTTTTTGACTGCAGAGGGAAACATCTGGGGGAGGGGGAATTATGATTGGACTGCCAGCATGGGAAAATATTCTTGCTTATGGATATTTGCCTTAAAAAAAAAAAATTATTTATATTTGAAAAAAAGGTGCCATTGGGATGGATATTATGCTGTTCCATGGCTGGATTTAAAAACCTTCTCCGTTCTGTGAGTGAGGCTGGATGTGTGCTGGCCTTGGAGACCATGGCAGCAAAGGATTGAGTGCCTGGAAGCTGCACTTCTGCCAGCACCACCCTCTGTGATGCTCCTGCTCCAAATGAAAGCCTCCTGAGACACCGTGTGGTCAGTGCAAGGATAAATGGAAGGAAAATCCAAGAGAGATTTAAATTAAGCAATATTTCCAACCCATAGTGCCAGGCTCTTGAATCTGAACCAATTTCTTTACTTGCAAGCAGGAATAGAGCCATGCTTAGTTAGCTATTCCTGTATTTAGGTATATAGAGATAGATATATTCCCATATTTATGTGCTTGCTCTCTCCAACTCCCTGACAGGAGGGTGAAGCCAGGTGGGGGTCGGGCTCTGCTCCCAGGGAACAAGGGACAGGACCAGGGGAAATGGCCTCAGGTTGCACCAGGGGAGGTTTAGAGTGGATATTAGGGAAAATTTCTTCACTGAAAGGGTTGTCCATCCCTGGAGGGATATAAAAACCGTGTGGATGTGACACTTGGGGACATGGGTTAGTGCTGGCCTTGGCAATGCTGGGGGAGTGGTTGGACTAGATGATCTCAGGGGTCTTCTCCAACCTTAATGATTCTGTGATTCCATGGTTTTGGGGCTTATTCCAGAGGGGTTTTTTCCTCCAGTTTAACCTGGTTTTGTTCTCTCTGGGATGGGCTGCAAGCTCCTGACGTGTGCGTGTGACGTTCAGCTGCCCAGGAAAGAGGCGGCGAATGCAAAGGTCACCCTGCAAGAGCATCCGCACACTGGGGGGAAGCCCCAAGACAACCTCCCCACCTTTCCTCTCCCGAGCCAAAGAGCCACCCCAACCCCACCCCCTCCATCCCGCGCCGCCCTGACCGAGTGCCTTTCTCCGTTGCAGGCAGGACAAGCTCAAGATCCACATGCGCAAGCACACGGGGGAGCGGCCGTACCTGTGCATCCACTGCAACGCCAAGTTCGTGCACAACTACGACCTGAAGAACCACATGCGCATCCACACGGGCATCCGGCCCTACCAGTGCGAGTTCTGCTACAAGAGCTTCACCCGCTCCGACCACCTGCACCGCCACATCAAGCGGCAGAGCTGCCGCATCGCGAGGCCCCGGCGAGGCCGCAAGCCGGCGGCCTGGCGGGCGGCCGGCCTGCTCTTCGCGCCCGGCGGCCCGCCCGTGGAGAGCGGCTTCGTGGTGCCGCCCGCCCTGGAGGAGATGGGCGGCCACCTCGGCAGCACGGCCATGTGCCTTCCCGGCCCCAGCCCCAAGCACTTCCTGAGCGGGGCCAAGGCCCCCTTCAGCCTGCAGGAGCTGGAGAGCCAGTTTGAGGAGACGCAGAGGAAGCTCTTCAGGCGGACCCAGATGGACATGGAGAGGAACGCGGGGATCTTCGCCTTCGCCCTGGGCCACAATGAGAACCTCGCCGCCCAGCCCTTCTTCCCGCTCCCCGACCCTTGGAGCACGGGCTTCAGTGGCCTGGCGGGGCTGGGCCACGTGGCTCCCATCTCGGAGGCGAGCAACTAAACCCCGCTCCCGGTCCCGCCGTGCACCCGCTCCCCTTCCCAGCGAGGCAGCCAGCTCCCTCGGGGCCCCCACCTGCCCTTTGGCATCGCTGGGCTCCCAAGAAACTCTTTGCCCCCTTGCTGCCGTGGGGCTTGGGGCACAGGGTGGTCCCTGGCGCGGGCAGGGGGGTGGGAGGTGCTGTGTCCCCTGGCCACTGGCACTTTAGACTCTGGATGCACTTGGCTTTGGGGCCAACAGGCACTTGCTGTCCCACCCAGCCACCCACCACTCATGGCTCCATCTGGGAAGGCCAGGCCAGGACTGCTGCTCTCTTCAACACTCCCGAAAATGTCACTTGCCTTAGTCCAGGGCACAGCCATCAGCGTGAGATGGCTCTTCTGGGGTAATTACTCCCCATTTTCCACCCGCAGAGCCCACTGGACACCAACAAGCCGTCTAGACTTGGTTTTATTATGTTACATTCCTTGGCCCTTTTGGTCAAAAGAACTTCTCTCTTTTGGATTTTTTTTTTTTTTGTGTTCTTTTTTTGGTTTTGTTTTTGGTTGGTTGGTTGGTTTTGTTTGCTTTTTTTTGTTTGTTTTTTTTTTTTAATTAATTCCCATGTCTGGCAACAATATTTATCCTACAAAGGATAAAGGGGAGGGTCAAGTCAAGCAGCCATGTTGGGAGACGGATAATCCTGGCCTTTGCCTTTCTCAGCAGTATATCGGATTTACAGGGCTGGTGAAAGCCCAGATCCGCAGCATGAGTTGGGACCCTAAAAACATTAAAAAGAAAAAAAAAAAAAAAAAAGGAGATAAAAAATCACCCAGCTTTGCAGCTGGGTGTAAAAGGGGGATTTACTTATTTTGGTTCTTTAGCTATTTCAAGATTTCAAAAGGAGAACCAAAGCCTATTTTGAGTATTTTAACTTCAGTTGCTTGAAAAGGTGAAGGAAAAGTTTTGGAAGAATCAGAAATGTTTCAATATTGAGCTTTCACTAAACCCTTGCTTTGCGAAAATGTACCACGTGGGAATTTCGAAATGAAAAAGTAGTTTCTAACCAAAGAGTCAGAATTCGCCACCACTGACCATTCTGAAAAGTCTGGGGTTCTGTCCTTAGTTCCCTCGAATTCCTATATATATATATATATTTTGATGAGAAAAATTTGCAAAACGCTCGTGTGTCCCCGAACGTGCAACGCTGATGGGAAAAAAATGAGTGTGGAAATATCCCTGCTGCTTGTCTCAAGGGATCTTTGTGGAAAAGAAATTCACTAAAGGTGTCTTGGTGATTTTACTGCCTACTTGCCAGCAAGCAGAAATGCTATTTCTTCACTCCTTGTTGGCTCAAAAGATAAGATGGTGACATACTGAGGGTGCTCCAAGCTGAAGGTGACCAGCATCCCTGCAGACCCCATCTTGGCCACTCCATCTGAGGATTATTTTGAGGCCAAAATCCAGCAGATTGGCTGGAATTGCCCTGCCCAGCCTACTTCAGCCCCAAAATCATGACCTACTCCAGTGAATAAAGGCTTTTGGTGACCATCTGCCTTCCATGGCTCCTCTTAGATGAGCCATGGGAGGGAGGTGTGGTTGGACCCCAGCTGCAGCACTGGCTGTCATGTCTTGCAGTGAGTCTCCCAGGAGGCTGGTTTTACGTGAAAACAGCACTTGAAAATGTAAATGGTACAAATTGGGGCTTTTTTTTATTTCTCTTTTTACTGTTACCTTTCAACGTCAGCAAAATCGAAGGGAATGAGAGGACCGCGGGTTCATGAATTTTTTTGGTTTGTCCATCAGTGAAGTGGTGGCTGGATGAGAATCAACCCACCAGAGCATGGAGGGGGATGCATGGGATCTGGGTTCTGCCCTCATGAGGGTATGAAGGACTTCTGCTCTGAGACCACCCGTGGCAGAATGATCCCAAGGAACTGCCCAACGCTCGCTTCCTCCTCCAGAAAAGAAACCCACAAAGACTCCACGTGCAACGAAAGTCAACGGAGAGGAAAAAAAGAAGAAGAAGAAGAAATAGAAAAAAAAAAAATCTTCTTAAAACTGCAGCAAACTTTTTCTTTTTAATCCACATCAACTTCTTACAACAAGCGACATTTTGCAGATGACTGGTTCCTTCAGGTGTTTTTTTTTTTTTTTT